AAAACTTTTAACCACAGAGTGAAAATAATGTTAGCTGGTTGATAAACTTAGTCCATTCATAAATAAAATACGACTTATTCTACAACATTATGATCATAAACATTCTTTTGTTGGTAGAAATCCTGGATAGTTTAAGAAAGTAATTAAAATTTCAAAAACTTTAACCACAGGGTGAATATGTGGATGTCGCTAGCCGACACAGATGGCTATGTTCCGCTTTTGCGACAAAAGTCGTAGGCTCGACAAAAATGTAATAAACTGTTATAATTTGAACATGTGTATCTAATGTGCTGGTAAACAAGTTTATACATTCTAAAATATTTTTTAATAAAGAAATAGTAAAAAAGTGAAGTTTACAAACAAGCGAGAGAAATTAAAAGGAACAAAAATAAAAAAAATAGTAGAACATACATTATTACATTGAACGAAAAAAAAAATAACAGACAGAAAAACAAAAGAAATACGACAGTAACAAACAGACGAAAAAATTCAGAGAAAATTGAAATATCATATAATGTTAAATACAAGCGGATTCAAAACAGGTCGAGGTTGAACGAATATGAATTTCTATCGATTACACGGTCAGGTGACAATCAGCGGAGGGTGGCGCATGTCAATAAAACATAAAATAACTTTTTTAATTACTAAAGATATGATTATAAAATTTGAAATTATGTTCTTTTAGAAAGTCTCCTTCTATATGCCATGTTTTTTGTGTCAATTCTATCATTCCATCAGGTCCTTAGTGCAATATTTTGTTCTTATTGCACTAAGGAGGCCCTTTGCAGTATTTCTACTTGTCCGTATAAATACCGCAAAGGACCTCCTCAGTGCACTAAGAACAACAATTTGCAAACAAAAATATAAGTCTATAACATTTGCGCACCTAAATGCTTGTTTTATTGGCGCAAATGAATGCTGCAGTTTTTAAAATAAAGTGATGCAAAAAAAAAAAAAAAAGAATTGGCGTAATTAAGTTGCGGTGGAAATTAATTCTTTTTCAGCAAAATTGGATAACGGCCTTCAAAACACCGTGTGTACACTAAGAAATCAGTATTCATCTTTAACGCTGTCTAGCCTGAGAATAAAAGTTTTGGCAATTTGTGTAGGATTTTAATTTTAGAATGTAATGAACAAGACTGTAAGAAGATCGTTGAAAACCTTAAGTGAATCGGAAAATGAGATATGCACGATAAAAGGAAATAGTTTGAAATTTCATAGAGGCATGTGATATTTGTAAAATTTTAAGTCTTTCAGTAACAACCATTTGTAGAACTGATTATTTCGATCCTTCAAATATGCGTAAAAAAAAATAAAACTCATATTATTTAGTCTCTTTCATATATACAATTGCAGTATGTTTTTAAATACTGTAGATTTGTATTTGATCATCGATTGCATGCATAACGTCCAGTGACAAATATTTCATGTATTCGCACAAAGAACAAGTCAACAACTTTTAGAATACAATTGATTGGTTATTTAAGGTAAATGATTTGCGTTAAAATTGGTGAAACTTGGACAGAAACTTACCTCTAAAACAAAGAAATAGAAAAAAACGGTGAGAGTTATATTTTTAATTCTGTATTTTACACATACGTGGACTTAAGCACTTTTTACAGTCAAAATGACAGTTTTAACACCGACAACAGGAATCACAAGCGACGCTGGTACCATAGAAGTCTTCAACGAATTTATATATATCCCTGGCAATTTTCGGTTTATATCAGACTCTGACATTGAGGGGAACAAATACCATGGATGTCTCGTCTTTTTTTAAATACATTAGATATAAAACGTGTTTCTCATATCAAGCCTCATTTATAGAACATTATATATAATTTACTGTTTCAAGGAAATATTTGGTGGAGGAGAGAGAGAGAAAGAGAGAGACTTATTTAGCGGTATTTGGTCTCCTGTTATTCATGTCAAAATGTGATGGAAGGAAATATTTCCCCCTTCGTTTTATATAGCAGGGTATTCCATAATGATATAAGTTGCAGATTTTTTTTCTATCGGTAAGACATGGTATACAGTTCGAAATCTACATTAAGTTATAGTACATTTAAAGTAAGTTTATTGCATTGCTAAACGTATGAAACAATTAGTATGAAACAAAATATATAATAAATAAGATAACTTATTTGCTTTAATTAACAAGTGAAATGTTTCCAATCCAATCTTTCAAATCTAATATAGTCCAAAAGGGTACAAAAGGATATAAATGAAAGGTTTTCTTACGGCTGGCGGTAAAATTCTTGCCAAAGTGGGGACATTCGTTTGGTTGTTTGGTATATACAGTACGCAACCAACTTTCAATCAATCCAAACTAATAAATGTTTTTTTTTAATCCCGCATCTTTTTATATACAATTATTTTAACTCAAAATAATAATTGAAATATCTTTCTAAAATAAAACCCTAACATATAGCAGACGCTTAACAAAACGATATACCATACGATAGATGAAATGCTTAATGATATCATATACCATACGATAAACGAAACGCTAAACGCCTAACCATACCATGTACCATACGACACATAAAACGCTTAACGATACCATAAACCATACGATATACAAAACCCTAAACGATGGCATTTACCATACGATGAACGAACGATGAACGAACGCTGACCGAACGTTGTACGGACGCCATACGAATGATGTACGAACGATGACCGAACTCTATACGAACGATTCCCGAACGCTGTACGTACGATTCCCGAATGAAAAAAGTGTTAACTTTTACGTTACAGGGACTGTACGTACACACGGACAAGGGTAAAAATTAATGCCCCCTCCGCTACGGTGGGGGCATAAAAATGCATTTAACTCACAATTGTTTGAATTTTTATATTCCTTATTTTAATCCAGTTATGGTCACTAATTAATCCAATAAAATATGTTGAAACACAAAATTTTGTTATAATTATATATAATCTCCTAAAAATTCCAATATATATTCCAATTTATATACATGAATAATGCCACAGCTTCACTTTAACAGTTCCTCATGGTATTTGAAAAAGCAGTCATTCTTAATGCAAAGTTTTACATTGCACTGTTTGCAGCCAATTGAAACTTCATGTCTTCTATTTTGCTTGAGACATTGTTTGCATCTGCCTGGTTTTTCAAACTGAAAGGGCCAGTGTGCCAGTCCACAGTTTCCAGTCACTGGTGGAGCTTTTCATCTCAACTGCAGTTGTTTCAACCCACACTTTGTCAGGTTTTGTTAATATGCTTTTACGTGCATATGAATTTGTTTCTTCCGCTAATTTTTCAACAAGTGCAAAAGGAAAGAATTTGTGAAAGAAATCTATTGCTTTCTTTTCCTTTTCGAGATTAAAAGCTGCCCCAAACGGTTGTGAAAACTCAGTGACTGGGGGTTTATACAAATTATTTGTCCAAATGTCATTATCTAACTCCGGTTCCTCGTCCTCAGATGACTTGCTTTCTATTTCCGATAAACTGATATCACTGCCAACACTTCCAACTTCACTTTCGTCAATATCAGACTGCGTAAACCCTTCAAACTCTTCATCTTCATCGTCCGATTCGAAGAATGAAGCCCATTCATTCGCCATTGTTTCAATCGCATTCCGCAAACAAAAACATGTGTAAAAAACAATGTATTTTAATGTAAACATATTACCTTTTAATGAAAAGGAATATAGGAGGAGAAAGTTTATTCATTTGTAAAACCGAATTTGATTGGTTCATTTCGGGATTCCCCCTAAGTATTGTCCAATCTAAAGGGTTTTAACAGTGGTATATTTTACGGGAATATCCGTCACCGCGACTGCGCATGCCGTTGTTTACAGAGGATAGATCAGTCACTGCGAATACACAGATGATTTGGCAAGCAGATTTATCAGTCACTACGAACTAAACGGTGATAAATACTGCGTATATATCCGTCAGTGGTAGATAAAGAGTTAATTCTTTCAAACACAAAATAACATAATTTCTTCACCTAAAGCTTTCAAACTTTTGTGTTTTCTATCATGATTTTCTTTATAGAGAGTTGATTCTCACAAGAAAGCTATCAAACCAAGATTTCCAAGTGGTGAAGTTGAACATTTCCCATAAATTTTATGGAAGCCATCATGAGTTGGTAAACTGTTATGAAATATCCTTTTCACAGATGACAAAGGATAAGTTTTCAAATGTAGTATAAACTACACTCCTGTACATTTTTTTCCAAAAAGTACACTACCAAATTAGATTATCACAATCTTTGTGCTAACATGATCAACATGATGGGTGCCACATGTAGAGAAGGATCTGAATACTTTCCCAGAGCACCTGAGTTCACCCCCTGTTTTTAATGGGGTTTGTGTTGCTTAGTCTGTAGTTTTCTATGTTGTGTTTTGTGTACTGTTTTTTGTCTGTTGGTCCTATTCTTTTTAGCAATAGTGTTGTTAAGACCATTTAATGTGACTTAACAATTAGAATTATTCCTGAATTTGTACTTAAAGGAGCAAGAAAATGGTTTCAACATGTGGGGCATGACATGCTAAAGCAACTGAGTTTACCATTAGTTTTGTTTTAAAGGGGAGTGTGTTGCCCTTGCTTCAGTTTTTAGTTTTGTACTATGTAATTTTTAAATTTCAATATCTCTGTTGTTTAAACCAGTAACAGTGTTGTCTATCCTTCGTCAAGACAAACGTGTTTCTTTTTCAAATTTTCACAGTCGATCAAGTTTCAAGATTAGAACATTTACCTTACCAATGGTTTATCAATTTGGTGATGTCTTAGGGTAGGTTAAGAAGCAATTAACAATGCACATTTTTGTAATACTATAGCATTTGATATTTATCAATGCATTTTATAGCAGTAGCATGACAGGTGTTGAATGTGAAGCACCTGTGATCATCCTTGTAAATTGTACCATCAAGTACACAGCGATCATAATGATAAACTTTGCCTTGAATTAAAAACACCCTACATATTCTTATTTCAGATTCAAAGTGACAATTATACATTTTAAACATACTCTCCGGGTCTTTTAATGCCGCTTAAATGTGTCATCATCCATTACATCTCCACTTATCAGTTATGATCCTAGTTCCTTGTTTAGTTCAGCAGCTGGTTACTGCACATTCTCCAAACTTGAAATCTCCTGATAAATATAAAATCAATCATTTTGAATTAATTATTCAATTATAGTTTGGTTACCTAATAGTAATACATAAACAATTGTCAATTGTCATGAAGGTTAAGAATTTAAACATGCTTCTGATTATTTAAAAAAAAAAACTTGATTCTCCATGTCCTTTTTAATGACTATTTACTCAGTGTAAATTGTACCATGAAGTACACAGCTATCAAATTGTTGAACTTTGCCTTGAATTGTTATCATAGTTATACATTGTAAGTTTAAAAAGAGACAGTTTTACAATGGTCTATACTCTTCAACAATAAAATTAAGAATGGATATGGGGAATGTGTCAAAGAGATAACAACCTGACCAAAGAGCATAAAACAGCCAAAGGCCATCAATGGGTCTTCAACACAGCTAGAAAATCCTGCACCCAGAGGCATGCTTCAGCTGGCCCCTAAACAAAAATGTGTACTAGTTCAGAGATAATGGACATCATACTAAACTCCGAAATATATAAATGAACAAAAAATAAAAATCATACAAGACTAACAAAGGTCAGAGGCTCTTGACATGGGACAGGTGCAAAAATGCGGCAGGGTTAAACATGTTTTGTGAGATCTCAACCCTCCCCTATACCTCTAGCCAATGAAGAAAAAACAGACGCACAGCAAAACACACAGGAAAACTCAGTTTAAAAGATGTCAGAGTCTGTTGTCACAATAGGTAACAAAAGAAACTAAACAAAATGACAATGATACATAAATTAAAATTTGTAAGGGTTCCGCAGAACCCAGCGTCTTGCCTACTTGAGCTGTTAACCGCAGGCTCAACAAAAATGAGGAAAAAAATTAATAAAAATATTCCTCTCTATATTATCTTTTGATTGTAAGTAGCTTCTGTCCAAGTTGGGTAAAAATCCAGGATAGTTTATGAATCTAATAAATGTTTTAAAAACTTAAACTGCAGACTGTATGTAATGTTAACTGGAAGAAAAACTAAGTCCATTTATAAGTCTGTTGTCAGAATAGGTAACAAAAGAAACTAAACAAAATGACAATGATACATAAATTAACAAAGGACTACTAGCAGTTACTGACATGCAAGCTCCAGCCCTCAATTTAACTGATTGAAAGATTATGTCTTCGTCATATGAATATCTAGCAAAATCTCTCCCATTAGTGGTTAAGTATCATACTATCATAAAATATATGAGAACATAACACGTATCATGCCAACAACTGGTTTTAGAATAGACTGATAAGGAACGACTTGTAATCAAAGCACCAAGGGGGCTATAGGCAGTTAATTAAAAAACCCCAAGGCAAATGTGGCAGAAGCTTAAGTTAAGATGAATATTGTGGAATAATTGGATAAATTATTTATCTCAGCTATTTCAAGTTAAAAAAATGTTTGTACCTTAATGTTTTCCCTATCCAATCCAACCATTTTCAAAAGTTATTTTTAATTTATCTTTAATATGTTTCCTTTAAAATGAGCCTTAAATGAAAATTTTATAGGCCCAGAAATAACTCAAAAAATAAATAAAGTTAATTTAACCTAGACTTATTTTTTGCATCAATTAAATTCTATAATAAACATTGATTGATTGATTGTTGGTTGCTTAACGTCCAGTGGCAAATATTTCATGCATTTTCAGGACGAGAACAAATTAACAATAAATACAATAGGTAGGTTCTGTAATAGGGGCGTCCAGGATTAAGGTCGGAGAAATTTAGACTACCACGGGAAATGAGGGTATATTGGATAGGGACAGAAATTTAGCCTTGCAACAGGCTAGGTCACCTACGGACCCCTCAAAGCGTTGTTGCAAGGGTTCTGAACGTGCAAAGAGCGTAGCACTCCCTTCACACGAGGCATCGGATTTAACTACCCCATTCTGACTGGACGTAGCTGCAAATTTGTACATCCCGCACAGCCAAACGGACGCCCCACTTTAGCAAGGGTTTTACTGCCAGTCGAAGGAAGACCAATGGTGACCATACTTCTATTCCCCAGTCACCCTTGGGGGCTATTATAAACAAGAGTTAATTGAAACAGGATACTGTTACGAAGTCTCCCAAACAAAGCTCCTATAATTGGTCATTCCCATGGTAGCCTGACGTTGGGCCGAGTCCAGTACAAATTGGTTTGGTCAAGTAAAGTGATATGCATATGTGACGCCTAGGAGATTGACCCTGTATGTCATTTAAACATTCTTGAGTTAACGAACAGGAATATATATGGTTTAGGGGTGGGGATCTCGACCGTTTTCAAGTTCTCAAAAGGTGAGGGTTGATCCCCATGGGACTCTCCCTTTATTTCATTTGATTTGTTTTAATGCCCAATACAAAAATATATATGGTTTCGGGGTGGGGATCTCGACCGTTTGCAAATTTTCAAAAAGAGGAGTGGGGTGACCCCCATTGACTAATCCCCTATATTTTATTTTATTAGTTTTATTGTCCCATCAAGAATATATATGGTGTAGGGGTGGGGATTTCGACCGTTAACAAGTTCTCAAACCGGAGTGGGAAGGGTTAAACCTGTGGACTCCCCCTATATTTCATTTTATTTGTTTTATTGTACCATACAAGAATATGTATGGTTTAGGGGTGGGGATCTAGACCATTAACAAGTTCTCAATCAGGAGGGGTGGAGTTGACCCCCTGTGGACTCCCCCTGTATTTCATTTTATTTGTTTTATTGTGCCATGCAAGACTATGTATGGTTTAGGGGCGTGGATCTCAACTGTTAACAAGTTCTTAACAGAAAGGGGTGGGGTTGACCCCCAGGGACTCCCACTATATTTCATTTGATTTGTTATATTGTCCCATACATGAACATATATGGTTTAGGGGTGGGGATTCTCGACCATTTACAAGTTCTCAAACAGAAGGGATAGGGGTGACACCTGGAACCTCAAATTATTTTCATTTGATTTGTTTTATTGTCCCATACAAGTATATATATGGTTTAGGGGTGGGGATCATAACCGTTTACAAGATAAAAACACATTTTCAAATTGAAGGGGGTGGGATGACCCCCAGGGACTCATCCTATATTTTATTTTATTTTATTTGTTCTATTGTACTGTTATCATGACTGAAGATCGTGTGTGTCTATCACTTACTGTTTTCAAGTAAATGTCACTAGAACACACCCGCGAAATCGTGGGAATTTAGTGTGTGGTTGAAAGTATGTAAACTGTTGTGGAATGAATTTCTGTAAAAGATTTTATGACTGGAGAATTTCAGGAGAGGTATCAAAAGCTATAGGTACTTGGTGAAAGGACAATTTTGTTTAGCCATACCCCTTTTTTCCAAAGTCCGTTATTTTTTGGTTTCTGTTTTTCTGTATACTATGAACATACATATACTATAAATAAAGTGTATTTGCTATTTACTATCAATTCCTAATTGTAAACCTATCCTAGGCGGTATAGTCATTTATAAAGAGACTCTCTATATAATATATCAGTGACAGTCGCAGAAAGTAAACTTTGAATTGATAGTATATAGCAAATACACTTTATTTATAGAATATGTATGATCATGGTATACAGAAAAACGTGAAAATATTTGTCCTGTCCCCAAGGATTTATGTGTAATATTTTATAAACAGTCCTAAACGGAAGTCTTGTCTATGACTTAAAAGTCTGTCCGATGACGAAACAATATCCGTACACCTTTATTTTCGTTTTCCTCCCAAAATATATCAAACTGAATAATCATAAGCGAGGATGACAAATGCGACTATGCATGGTACCTACAAGACACAGAGGCATGACGATTAATTTATTATGGAATGAAGAGAAGCGACACACAAAATGAGGACTTCTCATTTAAATATATAGATTTGAAAATTGAAAAAAATTGTAAACCCCTCCCTTATTTAGGCCCTAAAAATACCCCTTAATACACCCCAATGCACAAACGAAAGATTGATAACTTTGCTAGACATGTTAGTCTAACATTTTATGAAACCCAAGTAAATCTGACAAGCAGTCAGTGGACTCAGTCCGACTTGTCTCGAGGACGAGTTGTCCACATTTCTTAAAACATCCCATCAACGACGATTTTCGGATCTTTTTCATTTATATAAAAACAACAACTGCCAAGGTCAGTGATAAACGGTATAATCATATAATATTATAAAAGAAAGTAATTTAAATGTGCATACATTTAATTGAAATAAATAAAATAATCACAATCTCCTTAAACGAAAAGAACATCATTATTAGCAAAACTTACTTTAAAACACCAGAATACTTACCTTACGTTTTGTATAAGTTAAAATTACTGCCAACTTAGACTACTACATATAACTTTATTTCCTTTATCATAGAGATTAAATGTACATGAAAAATATTCCTGCGCCTTTGGCCATTTGAAAAATGTAAACGACTTGTAATTACAGATTTTCGGCGATGAAATATTTCATACAATTGTTCTTTGACGTCTTAGCCAAAAGCACATGGGATGATAAACTACGTACGGATTTCTATTGAGCACTACTTCCTATGTGCAACTTCAAAAGTTTTGGGTAGTTCGACAATCATTTAAGGTTTTTCTGGTCATATTTTTTGTATTCCAGAATTGAAAGCATGAAAAAAGTGCCATATTAGTTATTAATAACATATTAGCCAGCTAGATAATAACAATAGCACCTTTTACACCATTCAGTGAGAAGATCACAAATCTAGGGTGGTAGCATAAGGCAGCTTAACTGCCTAAAAATCTTAATTTGTATATATACAGTCCGCCAAAAGTTAAGCACCACCTAAATATAACTGGCAATATTTTTTTAACTATTGCGAACACAATATTTATGTTTGGTGTTATGAATTGCCTATAACATACACTAAGAAAATTCATTATGACAAAAAAAATAAACTCCGATAAACAGGACAGGCAATTTTTTATTAAAGGTCATCTGCACTTTTTCGAATACACTGTTTCGATGCCTTTAAATCATCTTCCTACTGTCCCGCGTACAGGTGAAATTTGGCCTTCACCAAGTTACTGTGAAATATGGCAAGGGGTAAGTTATATGTGACTAAACCTTGACAAGCAATTGACATGTCAAATGCCGGTAGGAGCACTAGTTGCATAGGTAACCATTTCAATGTTAAACACACCGTCATTGTCAGATTTTTACAACGTCATGTTGACACAGGAACTGTAAATGATAGACCAAGGTCCGGAAGACCCCGTTAAACTACCGATTGTGATGACAGACTCATTATTGGTTGTGCTAAAGCCAACCCATTTACTCCTGCCCCACAACTTAGACACCACTGGCATCAAGGTGGTCATGTTAGTGTTTGAATATTGGTCCGTCGACTTCATAGAGGCTACCTAAGAGCACGTCGTGTTGTCAAGAGACCTGCCCTAACAGCCTGGCACTGTATAATCAGGTTTTAAAGTGCTAATGACCATCGACGCTGGAACATGAGAAGCTGGCAAAATGTTCATTGGTCAAATGAGAGTCAGTTTCTGTTACGACCAATAGACGGCAGAATACGAGTTTGTCGTGGAAATAAAACTGCTAATGACCAAAACAACATTTGCCCAACAACTGCATACGTTGCTGGATTCTTCTCATACTGTTGTAAGGTGGGTATGCATATTCTGCAGGGTAACATGAACGGACAGACATACAGGGATTTGGTGCTTAGAAACATTGTAGTCCCTCATTTTGATAATCCTCCACTTGCTTCAAGACCCTTGCGCATGTACGACAATGCTAGACCACACAGGGCAAGGATTGTAACCGAGTACAAAGAGTACAAAGAGCAAGAAGCCATTGACACTATCTTTTGGCCGTCCGTGTCTTCAGATATGAACCCTATCGAACATGTCTGGGATGCCATTGGAAGAAATCTCAATCACAGAGATCCACCTTTGCAAAATCTTAGCGATTTAAGAAGCGCAATTGTTGCTGAATGGAATAAATTTGCTCAACTAAAGTTCAGAAGGCTTGTACAGAGTTTGAGACTCCCTGTTATGGATCTGTACCGGAAGAGAAGGTGTTACACATCCTATTGACTCAAATATTGACATTAAATTTGCCGAACATACCAAAGATTATTTGTAGAGACTTTTAATGATATTGGGTAATTAATTGTGGTAAAAAAATAAAATGACAGTGAAACTTAATTCCATTTCTGATTTGTGTAATTTTCACTATTTCTATGAATGCAAATTTCAAATGCATAGAACCTGCATACGTGAACAAACTTAAGTCTATGGTTTGTTTATGGTATATATATGTAAGCAAAATTGCTACATGAACATTTTCTCTTTTTCGAGGATTGACTGATTTTTTTAAATGAAAAAAATTTCGATGCAATAAAAATAGGTAGTGCTTAACTTTTGGCGAACTGCATATTTAATTATACAACTTAAAGTCATAACTAAAATCTTCCAGCATGGTTAGTAAATGTTTCAGATATATGGTGTCAAAGATAACTAGTGCCACAGATTAAAGCTAGTTTCCTAAAGCAATGACATATTCAAACCCTGCTTTCCAAATTGTGTGAAGTCTTTCACTTCCTTCTTATACTTGGGTGAACTGTTGTTTCTGTTGCTCAGTCTTTAGTATTCTATGTTGTGTTTCATATCCTGTTGGTAGTTGGATGCTTAAAATTTTTTTATTTTGTGTTTTAGTTTAAAATAGTCTACAAATGCAAAAGGATGTTACATGTTGAGATAGATCTGCTTACCCTTCTGGAGCACCTGAGATTATCCCAGTTTTTGGTGTTGTTTGTGTTGCTCAGTCTTTAGCACTCTAATTTAAGTTTCATATCCTGTTGGAAGTTGGACAGTTAAAATGTTTTATTGTGTGTTATAGTTTAATACGGTCTACAAATGCAAAAGGATGTTACATGTTGAGATAGATCTGCTTACCCTTCTGGAGCACCTGAGATCATCCCAGTTTTCGGTGTTGTTTGTGTTGCTCGGTCTTTAGTTTTTTTATGAAGTGTTTTGTGTACTGTTGTTTGTCTGCTGGTCTTTTAATTAGCCGTAGCATTATCACTTTATCTTCAACCTATGAGATAGAATGTTCCTTATGTATCTTATAAAAAAGTGAAAAAAGATGAATTAAAAAAGAAGGACCAAAGATACCAGAGGGATAGTCAAACTCATAGATCCAAAACAAACTGACAATGCTATGGCCTATAACACCCTACTTATACTTATTTCAGTTTCAAGGTAACAATTATATATTTCAAACATACTCTCCTGGTCTTTTAGTGCCGCTTAACTGTGTCATCATCCATTACATCTCCACTTATTAGTTATGAAAATAGTTCCTCTTTTCATTCAGTAGCTGGTTACTGCACAGTCTCCAAACTTGAAATCTCCTGATAAATATAAAATCAATCATTTTGAATTAATTATTCAATTATAAGTTTGGATTTCTAATATTTGTACATAGACAATTGTCAATTTTTAGGAATTCAAACTAAATTGCTTATGTTTATCAACAAAAAAAATAGAACTTTATTCACCATGTCCTTTTTAATGACTTGTTACTCAGTGTAAATTGTACCATGAAGTACACAGCCATCAAATTGATAAACTTTGCCTTGAATTGTTATCATAGTTATACATTGTAAGTTTAAAAAGAGAAAGTTTTATAATGGTCTATACTCTTCAACAATATTTATTTATTTATTGGTGTTTTAAAGCCATTTTTAAGCATCGCTTTTGGGCTATTTCATGGCGGCCAGTTTTTATTGGTGGAGGAAGCTGGAGTACCAGGAGAAAACCACCGACCTTCGATAAGAAAACTGACAATCCTAGTCAATTAAGATTGGAGTCGAGTGCACCTGCATGAGCGGGGTTCGAACTCACAACCTCAGTGTTGACTGGCTAGTGATTACAGTAGTAACTACTTAGACCACTCGGCCACCAAGGCCCATCTCTTCAACAATAAAAGTAAGAATGGATATGGGGAATGTTTTAATGAGATATCAACCTGACCAAAGAGCAGAAAACAGCTGAAGGCCATCAATGGGTCTTCAACACAGCCAGAAAATCATGCACCCTCAATCGTGCTTCAGCTGGCCTCTAAACGAAAATGTGTACTAGTTCAGTGATAATGGACATCATACTAAACTCCAAAATATATAAATGAACTAAAATTAAAATCATACAAGACTAACAAATGCTAGAGGCTCCTGACATGGGACAGGTGCAAAAATGCGGCAGGATTAAACATGTTTTGTGAGATCTCAACCCTCCCCTATACCTCTAGCCAATGTAGAAAAAACAGACGCACAGCAAAACGCACAGCAAAACTCAGTTTAAAAGAAGTCAGAGTCTGTTGTCACAATAGGTAACAAAAAAAACTAAACAAAATGACAATGATACATAAATTAACAAAGGACTACTAGCAGTTACTGACATGCAAGCTCCAGACCTCAATTAAACTGATTGAAAGATTATGTCTTCATCATATGAATATCTAGCACAATCTCTCCCATTAGTGGTTAAGTATCATACTATCATAAAATATATGAGAACATAACCCGTATCATGCCAACAATTGGTTTTAGAATAGACTGATAAGGAAAGACTTGTAAAAATCTTAATTTGTATAATACGACTTGAAGTCATAACTAAAAGCTTCCAGCATGATTAGTATATGTTTCAGATATATGGTGTCAAAGATAACTAGTGCCTCAGATTTAAGCTAGTTTCCTAAAGCAATGACATATTCAAACCCTGCTTTCAAAATTGTGTGTAGTCTTTCACTTCCTTAATAAACTTTGGTGAATTGTTGTTTGTGTTGTTCAGTCTTTAGTATTCTATGTTGTGTTTCATATACTGTTGGTAGTTGGATGGTTAATTTTTTTTTATTTTGTGTTTTAGTTTAATATGGTCTACAAATGCAAAAGGATGTTACATGTTGAGATAGATCTGCTTACCCTTCTGGAGCACCTGAGATCATCCCAGTTTTCGGTGTTGTTTGTGTTGCTCGGTCTTTAGTTTTTTAATGAAGTGTTTTGTGTACTGTTGTTTGTCTGCTGGTCTTTTAATTAGCCGTAGTATTATCACTTTATCTTCAACCTATGAGATGGAATGTTCCTTTGGTATCTTATAAAAAAGTGAAAAAAGATGAATTAAAAAAGAAGGACCAAAGATCCCAGAGGGATAGTCAAACTCATAGATCGAAAAAAAACTGACAATGCTATGGCCTAAAACACCCTACTTATACTTATTTCAGTTTCAAGGTCACAACTATATAATTCAAACATACTCTCCTGGTCTTTTAGTGCTGATTAACTGTGTCATCATCCATTATTTCTCCACTCATTAGTGATGAAAATAGTTCCTCTTAATTCAGTAGCTGGTTACTGCACAGTCTTAAAACTTGAAATCTCCTGATAAATATAAAATCAATCATTTTGAATTAATTATTCAATTTTAAGATAAGATTTCTATTATTCGTACATAGACAATTGTCAATTTTTAGGAATTCAAACTAAATTGCTTATGTTTATCAACAAAAAAAATAGAACTTTATTCACCATGTCCTTTTTAATGACTTGTTACTCAGTGTAAATTGTACCATGAAGTACACAGCCATCAAATTGATAAACCTTGCCTTGAATTGTTATCATAGTTATACATTGTAAGTTTAAAAAGAGAAAGTTTTACAATGGTCTATACTCTTCAACAATATTTATTTATTTATTGGTGTTTTAAAGCCATTTTTAAGCACTGCTTTTGGGCTATTTCTTGGCGGCCAGTTTTGATTGGTGGAGGAAGCTGGAGTACCAGGAGAAAACAACCGACCTTCGATAAGAAAACTGACAATCCTAGTCAATTAAGATTGGAGCGAGTGCACCTGCATGAGCGGGGTTCGAACTCACAACCTCAGTGTTGACTGGCTAGTGATTACAGTAGTAACTACTTAGACCACTCGGCCACCAAGGCCCATCTCTTCAACAATAAAAGTAAGAATGGATATGGGGAATGTTTTAATGAGATATCAACCTGACCAAAGAGCAGAAAACAGCTGAAGGCCATTAATGGGTCTTCAACACAGCCAGAAAATCATGCACCCTCAATCGTGCTTCAGCTGGCCCCTAAACGAAAATGTGTACTAGTTCAGTGATAATGGACATCATACTAAACTCCAAAATATATAAATGAACTAAAATTAAAATCATACAAGACTAACAAATGCTAGAGGCTCCTGACATGGGACAGGTGCAAAAATGCGGCAGGATTAAACATGTTTTGTGAGATCTCAACCCTCCCCTATACCTCTAGCCAATGTAGAAAAAACAGACGCACAGCAAAACGCACAGCAAAACTCAGTTTAAAAGAAGTCAGAGTCTGTTGTCACAATAGGTAACAAAAAAAACTAAACAAAATGACAATGATACATAAATTAACAAAGGACTACTAGCAGTTACTGACATGCAAGCTCCAGACCTCAATTAAACTGATTGAAAGATTATGTCTTCATCATATGAATATCTAGCACAATCTCTCCCATTAGTGGTTAAGTATCATACTATCATAAAATATATGAGAACATAACCCGTATCATGCCAACAACTGGTTTTAGAATAGACTGATAAGGAACGACTTGTAAAAATCTTAATTTGTATAATACAACTTGAAGTCATAACTAAAAGCTTCCAGCATGATTAGTATATGTTTCAGATATATGGTGTCAAAGATAACTAGTGCCTCAGATTTAAGCTAGTTTCCTAAAGCAATGACATATTCAAACCCTGCTTTCAAAATTGTGTGTAGTCTTTCACTTCCTTATTAAACTTGGGTGAACTGTTGTTTGTGTTGCTCAGTCTTTAGTATTCTATGTTGTGTTTCATATACTGTTGGTAGTTGGATGGTTAATTTTTTTTTATTTTGTGTTTTAGTTTAATATGGTCTACAAATGCAAAAGGATGTTACATGTTGAGATAGATCTGCTTACCCTTCTGGAGCACCTGAGATCATCCCAGTTTTCGGTGTTGTTTGTGTTGCTCGGTCTTTAGTTTTTTAATGAAGTGTTTTGTGTACTGTTGTTTGTCTGCTGGTCTTTTAATTAGCCGTAGCATTATCACTTTATCTTCAACCTATGAGATGGAATGTTCCTTTGGTATTTTATAAAAAAGGTGAAAAAAGATGAATTAAACAAGAAGGACCAAAGATACCAGAGGGATAGTCAAACTCATAGATCGAAAACAAACTGACAATGCTATGGCCTAAAACACCCTACTTATACTTATTTCAGTTTCAAGGTCACAACTATATAATTCAAACATACTCTCCTGGTCTTTTAGTGCCGCTTAACTGTGTCATCATCCATTACATCTCCACTTATTAGTTATGAAAATAGTTCCTCTTAATTCAGTAGCTGGTTACTGCACAGTCTTAAAACTTGAAATCTCCTGATAAATATAAAATCAATCATTTTGAATTAATTATTCAATTTTAAGATAAGATTTCTATTATTCATACATAGACAATTGTCAATTTTTAGGAATTCAAACTAAATTGCTTATGTTTATTAACAAAAAAATAGAACTTTATTCACCATGTCATTTTTAATGACTTGTTACTCAGTGTAAATTGTACCATGAAGTACACAGCCATCAAATTGATAAACTTTGCCATGAATTGTTATCATAGTTATACATTGTAAGTTTAAAAAGATTGATTTATTGATTGTTGGTTGCTTAACGTCCAGTGGCAAATATTTCATGCATATTCAGGACAAGAACAAATTAACAATAAATACAATAGGTAGGTTCTGTAATAGAGGCGTCTGGGATTGAGGTCGGAGAAATTTAGACTGCCACTGGAAATGAGGGTATATTGGATAGGGAGAGAAATTTAGCCTTGCAACAGGTCACCTACGGACCCCTCAAAGAGTTGTTGCTCAATGTAGAAATAAAATGCTCCGCAGGGCGCAGCTTGATACGACCGCAAGGGTCGAACCCTGAACAGTTGGGGCAAGTATGGACACAACATTCAAGCTTGATACAGCCTTGCATTTGGATTGTTATTAAATATCTGACACAGCATAGGTTTCTGACACAGAATGAATGTGGTCTAAGAACTTAAAAATTTTAAATTGGACATTCACCTATTATGGTCCAATATCCAAAACCTAAATACATGGTTAGATTCAGCATATCAAAGAACCCCAAGAATTCAATTTTTGATGAAATCAAACAAAGTTTAATTTTGGACCCTTTTGACCTCAATGTGGACAAAGTTGATAACAGGGCCCAAAAATCAAAAATCTAAATACATGGTTAGATTCAGCATATCAAAGAACCCCATATATTCAATTTTTGTTGAAATCAAACAAAGTTTAATTTTGGACCCCGATTTGGACCAACTTGAAAACTGGGCCCATAATCAAAAATCTAAATACATGTTTAGATTCAGCATATCAAAGAACCCTAAGAATTAAACTTTTGTTAAAATCAAACAAAGTTTAATTTTGGACCCTTTGGACCTTAATGTAGACCAATTTGAAAACGGAACCAAAAATTAAGAATCTAAATACACGGTTAGATTCGGCATATCAAAGAACCCCAATAATTCAATTTTCGATGAAATCAAACAAAGTTTAATTTTGGACCCTTTGGACCTCAATGTGGACCAATTTAAAAACGGGGCCCAAAATCCAAAAACTAAATACACGGTTAGATTCAGCATATTAAAGAACCCCAAGAATTCAAGAACAAGAGTGCACACACTGAAATGTCTCGCCTTCTTTTTTAATCATTGATATTATATGATAGTCCTAAATATAAAGCTTTCTTACAACTGTCACATAAACTTAACATTAACCAAGAAAACTAAACATTGACCAATGAACCATGAAAATGAGGTCAAGGTCAGATGAACCATGCCAGGCAGGCATGTACAGCTAACAATTCTTCCATACAACAAATATAGTTGACCTATTGCTTATCATGCTTATAGTTTAAGAAAAACAGACCAAAACACAAAAACTTAACACTGAGCAATGAACTGTGAAAATGAGGTCAAGGTCAAATAAAAACTGCGCGACTGACATAAAGATCATAAAATATTTCCATACACCAAATATAGTTGACCTATTGCATATAGTATTAGAAAAAAAGACCAAAACTCAAAATCTTAACTTTGACCACTGAACCATGAAAATAAAGCCAAGGTCAAATGACACCTGCCAGCTAGACATGTACACCTTACAATCATTCCATACACCAAATATAGTTGACCTGTTGCTTGAAGTGTAAGAAAAACAGACCAAAACAAAACTTAACATAAGTAATGAACCATGAAAATGAGGTCAAGGTCAAATAAAACCTGCCAGACTGACATGTACATCATTAAATATTTCCATACACCAAATATAGTTGACCTACTGCATACAGTATTAGGAAAACAGACCAAAACACAAAAACTTAACATTTAGCAATGAACCTTGAAAATGGGGTCAAGGTCAAATAAAACATGCCAGACTGACATGTACATCGTAAAATATTTCCATACACCAAATATAGTTGACCTACTGCATACAGTATTAGAAAAACAAACCAAAACACAAAAATTTAACATTGAGCAATGAACCGTAAAAATGAGGTCAAGGTCAAATAAAACTTGCCAGACAGACATGAACATCATACAATATTTCCATACACCAAATACAGTTGACCTATTGCAAACAGTATTAGAAAAACAGACCAAAACACAAAAACTAAACTATGACCACTGAACCATGAAAATGAGGTCAAGGTCAGATGACACCTGCCAGTTTGACATGTACCCCTTACTATCATTACATACACCAAATATAGTAGACCTATTGCTTATAGTATCTCAGATATGGACTTGACCACGAAAACTTAACCTTGTTCACTGATCCATGAAATGAGGTTGAGGTCAGTTGAAAACTATCTGACGGGCATGACGCCCTTGCAAGGTACGCACATACCAAATATAGTTATCCTGTTACTTATAATAAGAGAGAATTTAACATTCCAAAAAATCTGAACTTTTTTTTCAAGTAGTCACTGAACCATGAAAATAAGGTCAAGGACATTGGACATGTGACTGACAGAAACTTCGTAACATGAGGCATCTATATACAAAGTATGAAGCATCCAGGTCTTCCACCTTCTAAAATATAAAGCTTTTAAGAAGCTAGCTAAAGCCGCCGCCTCCGCCGGATCACTATTCCTATGTCAAGCTTTCTGCGACAAAAGTCGCAGGCTCGACAATAAAACCCCATTGAAATTGGTCAAGAAATAAGCAATTTATACGAAGTATCTTCTTTTGCACAATACTGTGCAATTAAATATTTCTTGCTATTGCGCAATACTGTACAATTGACAATTTCTTGCTATTGCGCAATATTGTGCTATTGAATATTTCTTGCTATTGCGCAATACTGTGCAATTGAAGATTTCTTGCTATTGCCCAATACTGTGCAATTGAAGATTTCTTGCTATTGTGCAATACTGTGCAATTGAAAATTTCTTGCTATTGCACAATACTTATTATATAATAATTTACACATCCTGTTTGGTGTGTATCTCCTACCATATCATTATTATTTGCTTTTAAATATAAATCAGAAATAACCAACTTAAAATGGAAAATTTTAAAAGAAAAAAAAAAGGAAAAAAAGAAAAAAAAAGAAAAACAAAAAATCCCCCCCCCAAATTTTTTGAACCCCCTTATGATTCATCATCCCCAAACTCAATCCCAGCCTTCCCTTAGTGGTATGGTACCTTTCAGTACAATTACAGAGAGATCCATACACTTGAACACAAGTTATTGTCTGGAAACTAGAAAAATGATTATTTTTGGCCCCTTTTTGGCCCCCAATTCCTAAACATTTTGGGCAATTACCCTCAAACTCAATTCCAGCTTTCCCTTTGTGATATGCAACCTTGTAGTACAATTTCAGAAAGATCCATACACTTACACACAAGTTATTGTCATGAAACTAGAAAAATGCTTGTTTTTTGCCCCTTTTTTGGCCCCTAATTCCTAAAATTTTGAGGCAATTACCCCCAAAATCAATCCCAGCATTCCTTTTGTGATATGGAACCTTGTGGTACAATTTCAGAGAGATCCATACACTAACACACAAGTTATGTCTGGAAGTAACAAAAATGCTTATTTTTGGCCCCATTTTGGCCCCTAATTCCTTAACTATTGGTACCATAACCCCCAAAATCAATCCTAACCTTCCTTTCGTAGTATTGAACCTTATGGTAAAATTTCATGGAGATCCATTAACTTAAACTAAAGTTAGAGTGCGAAAACCAATGTGTCTTCGGACGACGCAGGACGACGGCGACATCGACGACGACGACGACGCCAACGTCATACCAATATACGACCAAAAAATTTTTAATTTTTTCTGTCGTATAAAAAGAAGTCAGAGTCTGTTGTCACAATAGGTAACAAAAGAAACTAAACAAAATGACAATGATACATAAATTAACAAAGGACTACTAGCAGTTACTGACATGCAAGCTCCAGACCTCAATTAAACTGATTGAAAGATTATGTCTTCATCATATGAATATCTAGCACAATCTCTCCCATTAGTGGTTAAGTATCATACTATCATAAAATATATGAGAACATAACCCATATCATGCCAACAACTGGTTTTAGAATAGACTGATAAGGAACGACTTGTAAAAATCTTAATTTGTATAATACAACTTGAAGTCATAACTAAAAGCTTCCAGCATGATTAGTATATGTTTCAGATATATGGTGTTAAAGATAACTAGTGCCTCAGATTTAAGCTAGTTTCCTAAAGCAATGACATATTCAAACCCTGCTTTCAAAATTGTGTGTAGTCTTTCACTTCCTTATTAAACTTGGGTGAACTGTTGTTTGTGTTTCTCAGTCTTTAGTATTCTATGTTGTGTTTCATATACTGTTGGTAGTTGGATGGTTAATTTTTTCATTCTGTGTTTGAGTTTAATATGGTCTACAAATGCAAAAGGATGTTACATGCTGAGATAGATCTGCTTACCCTTCTGGAGCACCTGAGATTATCCCAGTTTTTGGTGTTGTTTGTGTTGCTCAGTCTCTAGTATTCTATGTTATGTTTCATATCCTGTTGGAAGTTGGACGGTTAAAATTTTTTTATTTTGTGATTTAGTTTAAAGTAGTCTACAAATGCAAAAGGATGTTACATGTTGAGATAGATCTGCTTACCCTTCTGGAGCACCTTAGATTATCCCAGTTTTTGGTGTTGTTTGTGATGCTCAGTCTTTAGTATTCTAATTTATGTTTCATATACTGTTGGAAGTTGGACGGTTAAAATTTTTTATTGTGTTTTTTAGTTTAGTATGATCTACAAATGCAAAAGGATGTTGCATGTTGAGATAGATCTGCTTACCATCTGAAGACCCTGAGATCATCCAAGTTTTTGGTGTTGTTTGTGTTGCTCGGTCTTTAGTTTTTTTATGAAGTGTTTTGTGTACTGTTGTTTGTCTGCTGGTCTTTTAATTAGCCGTAGCATTATCACTTTATCTTCAACCTATGAGATGGAATGTTCCTTTGGTATCTTATAAAAAAGATGAATTTAAAAAGAAGGACCAAAGATACCAGAGGGATAGTCAAACTCATAGATCGAAAACAAACTGACAATGCTATGGCCTAAAACACCCTACTTATACTTATTTCAGTTTCAAGGTCACAACTATATAATTCATACATACTCTCCTGGTCTTTTAGTGCCGCTTAACTGTGTCATCATCCATTACATCTCCACTTATTAGTAAATAAAATAGTTCCTCTTTTAATTCAGTAGCTGGTTACTGCAGTCTTAAAACTTGAAATCTCCTGATAAATATAAAATCAATCATTTTGAATTAATTATTCAATTATAAGATAAGATTTCTAATATTAGACATAGACAATTGTCAATTTTTAGGAATTCAAACTAAATTGCTTATGTTTATCAACAACAAAAATAGAACCTTATTCACCATGTCCTTTTTAATGACTTGTTACTCAGTGTAAATTGTACCATGAAGTACACAGCCATCAAATTGATAAACTTTGCCTTGAATTGTTATCATAGTTATACATTGTAAGTTTAAAAAGAGAAAGTTTTACAATGGTCTATGCTCTTCAACAATAAAATTAAGAATGGATATGGGGAATGTGTTAAAGAGATAACAACCTGACAAAAGAGCAGAAAACAGCTGAAGGCCATCAATGGGTCTTCAACACAGCCAGAAAATCATGCACCCTCAATCGTGCTTCAGCTGGCCCCTAAACGAAAATGTGTACTAGTTCAGTGATAATGGACATCATACTAAACTCCAAAATATATAAATGAACTAAAATTAAAATCATACAAGACTAATAAAGGCCAGAGGCTCATGACATGAGACAGGTGCAAAAATGCGGCAGGATTAAACATGTTTTGTGAGATCTCAACCCTCCCCTATACCTCAAGCCAATGTAGAATCGAAGCGTGAAAGCGCTGTAAAGGCAGTTAATTACAGGTTGTATGTATTTTTAGTCCAGTTATATCATTATCTTGCATAGTACAGTGTACTTATCAGAGGTGGCTTTCAGTATTTAAGATTTAGAATTCTCTAATGATATTGAACAAGTTTTATGAATGTCATATTCTGAGCACGATATGAAGGCGATTGTTCTCACTTGTTTATGAACTAGTGCATTATGTCCAGTTTATCTATGTTTATCTATGTTTATAGTCAAATACTGTTTAAAATAGTTAGGCATTTTCTTTTTAGTAATAAGTAAATGTTATCAACTGTATTTTATTCAACTTTGCAAATGTGGTTTGTTACTGGCAAGTATGGATGATAGTTGTTTCATTGGCAATCATAACACATCTCCTTATTTATATAATGATCTATATTCAACGACCTCAGGTACAAAAAAAATGTATGTAACTAAACTATGATGGGAAACATTTGACTTCTTTCTTTTATATAAACTTTTGATTTGGTACCATAGAACTATGTAGAATAAATGTACATTGCAACATGTCAACTCTTTCAATGACAATACTTTTTTTAGAAACTATAACTCCAAGTAAAATTATATTTCCAAGTATAAAGTAATTTATGATTGAAAAAAGGAGTTCTTAATTAAGAAATAAACTGATTTGCTGAGCGCAGCATGATACACCCGCAGAGGTCCAACCCTAAACAGTTGGGGCAAAAATGGACACAATATTCAAGCTTGATACAGGTCTGAATTTGGATTGTAATTAAATATTTGACATATTATAGTTTCTGAATAAATGTAGTCAAAGAACTTGAAATCGGTTATATGAACTGAATTTATATTCAATTAAAGATTTCTTGCTGTTGAGCAATACACTGTGCTGTTGCGCAATACTTAATAAATCTGTTGCCAGACTATAAACAAATAAAGTTCAATTTCTTCTCAATGTCATATTTGAAATTTATGAAAATCAATAGCGAGATTACATCAATAGCTTTAAATAATTCACCAAAGTTTCATGCGAACTGCTTAAAGCATTTTTGAGTTGTTGTCCAAAAACTGGAAAATCCCCCCTTTTTTAATGAATAAAACCCATAACTCAGAAATGTAAAATCTAAAATTTATAAAATTCTAAAGGGAGCTTACGGATTGATAATTTAGTCTTAGATGCAAGATTTTTTTATCAGTTGTTTGTGGCTTTGAACTAGCTGTCAGTAACTGCGAGTACTCTCAGATCTGTACTTAGTGTCTTTTTGTTGTTTGGATGTACAACTACCCGGCCACGTCCACTTGTATTTGTATTTATCCATCTGATGAGTTAAGCCTCTTTCAACTGATTTTTATAGTTCGTTCTTATATTGTACTGTTACACCACTGTCCCAGGTTAGGGGGAGGGTTGGGATCATTATTGAAGCTGTATGAACTCATGGTAGATGTTGTACTGATAAACTTAAGACCAATTTCCATTTGAAGTGAAACCCTGTGGCATGCAACTTATAAGAAGGTTTGGTATATTTTTCTAAAGAGTAACACACCAGCTTCATTGTACGGTGTTTATATTTCACAACTCATTCGCTATGCCAGTATCTGTTGTGACGTTTTTGATTTTAACGAACGTAATCTATGTATCACTGGTAAATTATTAAGCCAGGGATTGCGTTACCACAAATTACTTAAAACCTTTACTAAATTCTTCCACAGATATAAAGATTTGGTTCTGAAGTTCGGTTGTACCTGTAGAAAACTTATTTCAAACTGGATTGCACATCCTCATTTTTCACGGCAATATTGTTTACCGTGCCCGGAAATTTAGAAATGATCCTGGTAAACTTATTCTTAAAGGTTACCAATTCAACACTATAATTAGATAATTAAATATTGTTTTTATTGGTACTAATATTGATTTTGTTATCAGTAAATTAAAAGCAAACTAAATATTATTGTTATATACATATACACATTCATGGATCTACAATCTGTTGATACCTGTATCTTGGCATTGCACGAGGTCATGTTTTTCTCTGACTGTTTATGACGTCTTTACACTAAATCCATTGGATGTTGGATGTGTACGGATTGATAATTTAGTCTTAGATGCATGATTTTTTTTATTAATTGTTAGTTGCTTTGAACTAGCTGTCAGTAACTGCGAGTACTCTCAGATCTGTACTTAGTGTCTTTTTGTTGTTTGGATGTACAACTACCCGGCCACGTCCACTTGTATTTGTATTTATCCATCTGATGAGTTAAGCCTCTTTCAACTGATTTTTATAGTTCGTTCTTATATTGTACTGTTACACCACTGTCCCAGGTTAGGGGGAGGGTTGGGATCCCGCTAACATGTTTAACCCCGCCACATTCTGTATGTACATGTATGTGCCTGTCCCAAGTCAGGAGCCTGTAATTCAGTGGTTTTCGTTTGTTTATGTGTTGCATATTTGTTATTTGTTCATTTTTTGTACATAAATTAGGCCGTTAGTTTTCTTGTTTGAATTGTTTTACATTGTCATTTCGGGGCCTTTTATAGCTGACTGTGCGGTATGGGCTTTGCTCATTGTTGAAGGCCGTACTGTGACCTATAGCTGTTAATTTCTGTGTCATTTGGTCTCTTGTGGAGAGTTGTCTCATTGGCAATCATACCACATCTTCTTTTTTATATTTACATCAACAGATATAAACAATTCACAAAAGTCAAGGTGAGACAACAAAACGTAGTTGTAAGATCTCTGAAATGTTTTACATGGTACAAGTTTTTCTCATTGTTGGAGATTGTACGGTGACAGTAACACCTATAACTGCTTAAACCCATTTCTTATGCACTTTGGTTCAATAAACTCACTGAATATCATACCACATCTCCTTAATTTTATATGCATTACAATTTACATGTGCATGTAATTGTAAATATATATATATCAGAACAAAATTCATTGCGTCACTTTTATTTATGCATCCTTTGGCACAATACAAGTTCTAAAATTACACAACATGAAACAACTAAATGTTATTTAAGATGAAAGTTTTGTTTCAGTTCCATTCATAGGATTTATTAGAATTTTGTATGTTTTGCCAAGTCCAATAATTCGCTCTATCACTACAAACTGCTCAGAGTCTGAAAAGACCAGTTTTTACTTGACTAGTCTCGACATTGTCTCGACAGTACTTAACTGTACTTAATTGTACTCTACTAGGTCTCGACTTTACTTAATTAGTCTGATTCAGTACTTGATGATCTTGGTGTAGTCTGAAATGGTCTCGACCAAGGCTCGACCAGTCTCGACCTGTCTCAACTAGTCTGGACCTTCAAATTTAGTCTTCACTGCAAGGATCCGGAAATTTTTCCACACAATTTCGGTCATTTTGAGATGATTGAAAAGTTGGTGCCCCTTTCCAAATTGTCGATGTCAACTTGACTAGATTCATAGCATCAACGAACTTGTATTGCTGTTTCATCGCATTTACTAAGTAAATGTCTTACCGTTACCATGAAGAACAGTTTAGGGAAGGCAATAGTTTAAAATTGAAATGATTTTAATGACTCAAAATGGTAAATCTCTCAGACATTGCTTACGTTTCTTTCGATTTGACAAAAGTTAAAACCGGAAGTTTGCGATAAAGTTAAAGTACGAATAATTCCGGATTCATTTCCGGGATTTGTTTTGTTTATCAAATTGACAGGAAATCACCGGCTTTTTATGTTTTTTTTATTTTATTACCTTAAAAAGTGTTTGAATGTAACAGACAATAGTTGCACTCGTTTAATTTAGCATGAAATCAATTTGCATTTTACGATTAAATATTAAATTTGCTGAAGACAATTTCACGCATGCGTAATATATAGTAAATAAAGCACATGAAAAAATACTTTTTTCCGTAAATTTAGATTTAATTTTTAAATCAGTTTTGATGATTGTCTTTGCTGAAAAGTAATTAAATAATGAATACACTTGTCAGTGAATTTCAATTTTTGTTAAGATATTATTCTGAGCTTGTGATCACTGTCAGGTGTGAATTAAAACCACAGGTAAAGTGATTAGCGATCATTAGCCAATGTTTCCCGGAGGCATTGATATAGATATTAGGAGGGCCCTCAGGATTACCAAACAACTGGAGTGGCAGTTTTATTACAGGAAAGGGATTATAAACAAAAACAAATGATCACAACTTACACAAGACAGTGCAAAATGGCGATTAAGAAATCCGATTTCAAACATTGAGTCAATGAAATGACCTAAATCCCAATTACTCGTTTAGGACAAATAGTTTCATCTTAGGACATGACTGGCATATATGACCGTTTCTGGACCCTTGCTTCACTGGTACTAATCATCCCATCTAACTAAATTAAATAAAGATCTTACAAAATTCCAGTTTATTTGTTAGTTTGATTCATTGCTGTGAAATGAAAGAATTTAATTAATGGGTAAAAAAAAAATGATTAAATTCAGATAGGCATCTTTAATTTTTTCTATAACTTTTTCAAATCAACTTGGATTTTCATCTAACTATACAGCTACCTTGGTAATATATTAATCTTACTGAATCCCAGGTTGTTAAGAAGTTTGGTGTATTGCTCTCAAATTAAAGAATTAAATTAATCTAGGTCCAAAAAGCTAGGATTTGCAGTTCAGACAAAATAGAGATAGTACACTTTAATTTTTTTTATAACTTTTTCAAATCAACTTGGATTTTCATCCAACTATACAGCTACCTTGGTAATATATTGTTCTTACTGAATCAAAGGTTATTATGTAGTTTGGTGTATTGCTGTCAAATTCAATCTAGGTCAAAAAGCTAGGATTTGCAATTTTGGACAAAATTCAGATAGTACACTCTAATTTTTTTATAATTTTTTCAAATCAACTAGGATTTTCATCAAACTATACAGCTATCTTAGTAATATATTGATCTAACTGAATCATACGTCATTATGTAGTTTGGTGTATTGCTGTCAAATTTAAGGATTAAATTATTATAGGTAAAAAAAGCTTGAATTTGCAGTTCGGACTATTTTCAGATAGTACACTTTAATTCATTTTATAACTTTTTCAAATCAACTTAGATTTTCATCAAACTATCCAGCTACCTTGGTAATATATTAATCTTACTGAATCCCAGGTTGTTAAGAAGTTTGGTGTATTGCTGTCAAATTTAAGAATTAAATTAATCTAGGTCCAAAAAGCTAGGATTTGCAGTTCAGACAAAATAGAGATAGTACCCTTTAATTTTTTTCATAACTTTTTCAAATCAACTAGGATTTTCATCAAACTATACAGCTATCTTAGTAATATATTGATCTTACTGAATCAAAGGTCATTATGTAGTTTGGTGTATTGCTGTCAAATTTAAGAATTAAATTAATCTAGGTAAAAAAAGATTGAACTTGCAGTTCGGACTATATTCAGATAGTACACTTTAATTTTTTTTATAACTTTTTCAAATCAACTAGGATTTTCATCAAACTATACAGCTATCTTAGTAATATATTGATCGTACTGAATCATAGGTCATTATGTAGTTTGGTGTATTGCTGTCAAATTTAAGGATTAAATTAATCTAGGTCAAAAAAGCTAGAATTTGCAGTTCGGACTATATTCAGATAGTACACTTTAAATCTTTTTATAACTTTTTCAAATCAACTTGGATTTTCATCAAACTATACAGCTACCTTGGTAATATATTGATCTTACTGAAAAAAAGGTCATTATGTTGTTTGGTGTATTGCTGTCTAATTTAATCTAGGTCAAAAAAGCTAGGATTTGCAATTTTGGAAAAAAATTCAGATAGTACACTTAAATTTTTTTTATTACTTTTTCAAATCAACTTGGATTTTCATCAAACTATGCAGCTATCTTAGTAATATATTGATCTTACTGAATCACAGGTAATTATGTAGTTCGGTGTATTGCTGTCAAATTTAAGAATTAAATTAATCTAGGTCATAAAAAGGTTGAATTTTCAGTTTGGACTATATTCAGATAGTAACACTTTAATTCTTTTTATAACTTTTTCTAATCAACTTGGATTTTCATCAAACTAAGCAGCTATATTTGTAATATATTGATCTTACTGAATCAAAGGTCAGTATGTAGTTTGGTGTATTGATGTCAAGTTTAAGAATTAAATTAATCTAGGTAAAAAAAGATTGAACTTGCAGTTCGTACTATATACAGATAGTACACTTTAATTTTTTTTTTTAATTTTTCAAATCAACTAGGATTTTCATCAAACTATACAGCTATCTTAGTAATATATTGATCGTACTGAATAATAGGTCATTATGTAGTTTGGTGTATTGCTGTCAAATTTAAGAATTAAATTAATCTAGGTCTAAAAAGCTAGAATTTGCAGTTTGGACTATATTCAGATAGTACACTTTAAATCTTTTTATAACTTTTTCAAATCAACTTGGATTTTCATCAAACTATACAGCTACCTTGGTTATATATTGATCTTACTAAAACAAAGGTCATTATGTAGTTTAGTGTATTGCTGTCAAATTTAATCTAGGTCAAAAAAGTTAGGATTTGCAATTTTGGACAAAATTCAGATAGTACACTTTAATTTTTTTATTACTTTTTCAAATCAACTTGGATTTTCATCAAACTATGCAGCTATATTAGTAATACATGTAATATTTTGACCTTACTGAATCACAGGTCATTATGTAGTTTGGTGTATTGCTGTCAAATTTAAGAATTAAATTAATCTAGGTCAAAAAAGGTTGAATTTGCAGTTTGGACTATATTCAGATAGTACACTTTAATTTTTTTTATAACTTTTTCAAATCAACTAGGATTTTCATCAAACTATACAGCTATCCTAGTAATATATTGATCGTATTGAATCATAGGTCATTATGTAGTTTGGTGTATTGCTGTCAAATTTAAGGATTAAATTAATCTAGGTCAAAAAAGCTAGAATTTGCAGTTCGGACTATATTCAGATAGTACACTTTAAATCTTTTTATAACTTTTTCAAATCAACTTGGATTTTCATCAAACTATACAGCTACCTTGGTTATATATTGATCTTACTGAATCAAAGGTCATTATGTAGTTTGGTGTATTGCTGTCAAATTAAATCTAGGTAAAATAAAATGCTCCGCTGGGCGCAGCTTGATACGACCGCAGAGGTCGAAACCCTGAACAGTTGGGGCAAGTATGGACACAACATTCAAGCTTGATACAGCACTGAATTTGGATTGTGATTAAATATTTGACACAGCATAGGTTTCTGACACAGAATGAATGTGGTCTAAGAACTTAAATTTTTTTAATTTACCTATTCAAACCATATCATTATTATTTGCTTTTATATATAAATCAGAAATAACCAATTTAAAATGGAAAATTTTAAAGAAAAAAAGGGAAAAAAAAATCCCCCCCCAAATTTTTTGAACCTCCTTATGATTCATCACCCCCAAACTCAATCCCAGCTTGCCCGTTGTGGTATGGTACCTTGCAGTACAATTTCATAGAGATCCATTCACTTGAACACAAATTATTGTCTGGAAACTAGAAAAATGCTTGTTTTTTGGCCCCTTTTTGGCCCAATATTCCTAAACATTTAGGGCAATTACCCCCAAACTCAAACCCAGCTTTCCCTTTGTGATATGGAACCTTGTAGTACAATTTCATAATTCACTTACACACAAGTTATTGTCATGAAACTAGAAAAATGCTTGTTTTTTGCCCCTTTTTTAGCCCCTAATTCCTAAAATTTTGAGGCAATTACCCCCAAAATCAATCCAAGCATTCCCTTTGTGATATGGAACCTTGTGGTACAATGTCAGAGAGATCCATACACTAACACACAAGTTATGTCTGGAAGTTACAAAAATGCTTATTTTTGGCCCCTTTTGGCCCCTAATTCCTTAACTGTTGGTACCATAACCCCCAAAATCAATCCCAACATTCCTTTTGTGGTATTGAACCTTATGGTAAAATTTCATAGAGATCCATTCACTTAAACTAAAGTTAGAGTGTGAAAACCAATGTGTCTTGGGACGACGACGACGCCAACGTCATACCAATATACGACCACAAAATTTTTTTGCGGTCGTATAAAAATAAGATGTGGTATTATCACCAATGCAGGTGTGTGGAAATGTGATGCCCTACTTGCCCGACTCGTACATTTGAACACTTAAACAAATACCACAAACATCATTTATATTGTGATACAAATCAGTTTTAAGAATCATACAAGCTTACAGTAAAATACTTCAATAATTATTGGGAAATTAAGAGCAAGCAACTTTTTAACGGACATGTAAAATTTACAGTTTTTCTTGCCCATAGACAAGAGTTCACAACAATTTCCACACCCCTGCAATGTGACAAGTATTCATAAGACACTAAATAACATAGATGTGAGCAACTAGAGGTCATTGTATGGCTTTACAAGTTAACTGCATGCTTACATGGACATTGACAAACTTACCAGTTGCTGACCATTGTAACTGATGGTACATTTAATAGAGGTTCTGGTAACTGGTTCATCTCCATCATTATATTAGCCAAGCCTACTGGCAATTCTCGTCTCAAAAATTCAAAGGATGATTGTTCTGTACCGGTTTTTGTCCCTTTAAATAAAAAATGTAATGAATTAAGACCAAAAAAAATGTTCTTCCTATCTTATTGTTAAATTAAATTTGTCTGAAACATTTATTTTTATTTATATTGTAGAGAAAAAATTTCAACATATGACTGTCTCAAACTTTAGAAAGTGCATGACATTTGAATATTTGACTTCTAAATCTAACAGTTTATAAAGTCTTCTTACAATTGAAAAGTTGATTTCTAGTCTAACAGTTTAAAAAGGCTTCTTACAATTGAAAAGTTGACTTCTAAATCTAACATTTTATAAAGTCTTCTTACAATTGAAAAGTTGACTTCTAAATCTAACATTTTATAAAGTTACATATCTCTGGAACAACAACCCAATAAATTCACAAAATCTATTTAGGGAGCTAAACAAGTGGCATAGAAATAGAAATATTCTGTATTCTTATCTATAGAAAACTGTATTTTGAACTTTATTATTAATAAGTAATATCGTTGATCCAGTGTTTTTTTAATGTAATGTAAATAAAATGCTCCGCAGGGCGCAGCTTGATACGACCGCAGAAGTCGAACCCTGAACAGTTGGGGCAAGTATGGACACAACATTCAAGCTTGATACAGCTCTGAATTTGGATTGTGATTAAATATTTGACACAGCATAGGTTTCTGACACAGAATGAATGTGGTCTAAGAACTTAAAAATTTTAAATTGGACATTCAACTATTATGGTCCAATATCCAAAATCTAAATACATGGTTAGATTCAGCATATCAAAGAACCCCAAGAATTCAATTTTTGATGAAATCAAACAAAGTTTAATTTTGGACCCTTTTAACCTCAATGTGGACAAAGTTGATAATGGGGCCCAAAAATCAAAAATCTAAATACATGGTTAGATTCAGCATATCAAAGAACCCCATATATTCAATTTTTGTTGAAATCAAACAAAGTTTAATTTTGGACCCCGATTTGGACCAACTTAAAAACTGGGCCCATAATCAAAAATCTAAATACATGTTTAGATTCAGCATATCAAAGAATCCTAACAATTCAATTTTTGTTAAAATCAAACTAAGTTTAATTTTGGACCCTTTGGACCTTAATGTAGACCAATTTGAAAACAGAACCAAAAATTAAGAATCTAAATACACGGTTAGATTCGGCATATCAAAGAACCCCAATAATTCAATTTTTGATGAAATCAAACAAAGTTTAATTTTGGACCCGTTGGACCTCAATGTGGACCAATTTAAAAACGGGGCCCAAAATCAAAAAACTTAATACACTGTTAGAATCAGCATATTAAAGAACCCCAAGAATTCAAGAATAAAACCCCATTGAAATTGGTCAAGAAATAAGCAATTTATACGAAGTATCTTCTTTTGTACAATACTGTGCAATTGAATATTTCTTGCTATTGCGCAATACTGTACAATTGACAATTTCTTGCTATTGCGCAATATTGTGCTATTGGATATTTCTTGCTATTGCACAATACTGTGCAATTGAAGATTTCTTGCTATTGCGCAATACTGTGCAATTGAAGATTTCTTGCTATTGTGCAATACTGTGCAATTGAAAATTTCTTGCTATTGCACAATACTTATTTTATAATAATTTACACATCCTGTTTGGTGTGTATCTCCTACCATATCGTTATTATTTGCTTTTAGATATAAAACAGAAATAACCAACTTAAAATGGAAAATTTTAAAAGAAAAAAAAAGGAAAAAAAAAAAATCCTCCCCCCCAAATTTTTTGAACCCCCTTATGATTCATCACCCCCAAACTCAATCCCAGCCTTCCCTTTGTGGTATGGTACCTTGCAGTACAATTTCAGAGAGATCCATACACTTGAACACAAGTTATTGTCTGGAAACTAGAAAAATGCTTATTTTTGGCCCCTTTTTGGCCCAATATTCCTAAACGTTTTGGGCAATTACCCCCAAAATCAATCCCAGCATTCCCTGTGTGATATGGAACCTTGTGGTACAATTTCAGAGAGATCCATAAACTTGAACACAAGTTATTGTCTGGAAACTAGAAAAATGCTTATTTTTGGCCCCTTTTTGGCCCCTTATTCCTAAACGTTTCGGGCAATTACCCCCGAACTCAATTCCAGCTTTCCCTTTGTGATATGGAACCTTGTAGTACAATTTCAGAAAGATCCATACACTTACACACAAGTTATTGTCATGAAACTAAAAAAATGCTTGTTTTTTGCCCCTTTTTTGGCCCCTAATTCCTAATATTTTGAGGCAATTACCCCCAAAATTAATCACAGCATTCCCTGTGTGATATGCAACCTTGTGGTACAATGTCAGAGAGATCCATACACTAACACACAAGTTATGTCTGGAAGTTACAAAAATGCTTATTTTTGGCCCCTTTTTGGCCCCTAATTCCTTAACTGTTGGTACCATAACCCCCACAATCAATCCCAACCTTCCTTTTGTGGTATTGAACCTTATGGTAAAATTTCATAGAGATCCATTCACTTAAACTAAAGTTAGAGTGCGAAAACCAATGTGTCTTCGGACGACGCCGGACGAAGCCAGACGACGACTACGACGACGACGACGACAACGACGCCAACGTCATACCAATATACGACCGCAAATTTTTTTTGCGGTCGTATAAAAAGCTAGGATTTGCAATTTTTGACATATTTCAGATAGTACATTTTAATTTTTTTTAAAACTTTTTCAAATCAACTTGGATTTTCATCAAACTATACCGCTACCTTGGTTATATATTGATCTTACTAAAACAAAGGTCATTATGTAGTTTGGTGTATTGCTGTCAAATTTAATCTAGGTCAAAAAAGCTAGGATTTGCAATTTTGGACAAAATTCAGATAGTACACTTTAATTTTTTTATTACTTTTTCAAAACAACTTGGATTTTCATCAAACTATGCAGCTATATTAGTAATACATGTAATATTTTGAACTTACTGAATCATAGGTCATTATGTAGTTTGGTGTATTGCTGTCAAATTTAAGAATTAAATTAATCTAGGTCAAAAAAGGTTAAATCTGCAGTTTGGACTATATTCAGATAGTACACTTTTAATTCTTTTTATAACTTTTTCAAATCAACTAGGATTTTCATCAAACTATACAGCTATCTTAGTAATATATTGATCTTACTGAATCATACGTCATTATGTAGTTTGGTGTATTGCTGTCAAATTCAAGGATTAAATTAATCTAGGTCAAAAAAGCTTGAATTTGCAGTTTGGACTATATTCAGATAGTACACTTAAATTCTTTTTATAACTTTTTCAAATCAACTTAGATTTTCATCTAACTATACAGCTACCTTGGTAAAATATTAATCCTACTGAATCCCAGGTTGTTAAGAAGTTTGGTGTATTGCTGTCAAATTAAATCTAGGTAAAAAAAAAGCTAGGATTTGCAATTTTGGACAAATTTCAGATAGTACACTTTAATTTTTTTTTAAACTTTTTCAAATCAACTTGGATTTTCATCAAACTATGCAGCTATATTAGCAATATATTGATCTTAATGAATCATACGTCATTATGTAGTTTGGTGTATTGCTGTCAAATTTAAGAATTAAATTAATCTAGGTCACAAAAGGTTGAATTTGCAGTTTGGACTATATTCAGATAGTACACTTTAATTCTTTTTATAACTTTTTCAAATCAACTTGGATTTTCATCTAACTATACAGCTACCTTGGTAATATGTTAATCTTACTGAATCCCAGGTTGTTAAGAAGTTTGGTGTATTGCTGTCAAAGTTAAGAATTAAATTAATCTAGGTCCAAAAAGCTAGGATTTGCAGTTCAGACAAATTAGAGATAGTACACTTTAATTTTTTTTATAACTTTTTCAAATCAACTAGGATTTTCATCAAACTATACAGCTATCTTAGTAATATATTGATCTTACTGAATCATAGGTCATTATGTAGTTTGGTGTATTGCTGTCAAATTTAAGAATTAAATTAATCTAGGTAAAAAAAAGAATGAAACTTGCAGTTCGGACTATATTCAGATAGTACACTGTAATTTTTTTTATAACTTTTTCAAATCAACTAGGATTTTCATCAAACTATACAGCTATCTTAGTAATATATTGATCTTACTGAATCATAGGTCATTATGTAGTTTGGTGTATTGCTGTCAAATTTAAGGATTAAATTAATCTAGGTCCAAAAAGCTTGAATTTGCAGTTCGGACTATATTCAGATAGTACACTTTAATTCTTTTTATAACTTTTTCAAATCAACTTAGATTTTCATCTAACTATACAGCTACCTTGGTAATACAGTCGAACCTCGTTGTGTCAAACTCGGTTGTGTCGAAAACTTGGATGAGTCGAAGTAATTTCTCGGTCCCGGTAAAATTCCTGTTTGATCAATGCATAATTACCTCTGATGAGTCGAACTCGGTTGATTCAAATACTTGGTTATGTCGAGTAAATTTTATAGTCCGGTCGATATAAAATTAATGTAAATTGACGCCGATGTCTCGAAGTTCGAAAGTAAGAATTTTCGAAAGATGCAGACCTAATGATAAAAACTCAAATAGGAGGTATTTCTTATGCAACCTAATCATTTTCAAAAGAGATTAAAGCTCAGTAAACATACTTGTTTGTATAACAGTTAAATTGACATGTTTATGGTTGCCCGTAATTAACACCTTTGTTGATTGTACAAGCGGAACTTAAGTGTGCTGAACATATTTCACATGAGATAAAAACGAAACAAATTTAAATGACACTAGCCAAGATTAAATCAATCGTTAGAATTAAAACTCATTAATTACAATAAATAAAGGATTAAGACAATTATGATAAATTCATGATAATTTAATGTACAACAGACAACCTCATCAGAGACCGTCCAGAACATATATTTCGTTCCGCGAATGATTTCATAATTTATAGTGACTGACCTTCATAAATATTTGTGTAGACTATTGATTTTATTTGTGCAAGATTTGTATCTGTTCTTGTGTGCTTGAATATTATGAAGGACCAACAATGGCG